CTTCTAGATGTCAGCCTGTCACTCACTGGTAAAGTGACTACAGGCAAATTGCTAAGCTCCCTAAGCCTCTGGTCAGCCTCATCTAGAAAACGGGATGATGACTCTAACCTCATAGGGTTACCATGGGCATTCGATGAGGTGATGCTGGCACAGGTTCACATGTTTAAAAGCATGATCTTCGTTGTTTCGTCTTTTATAAAATGAAGGGACTGGGGAATGGGTCTCTAAATTCCTATCCCATGTGAATATTCAGTGTTTAATAAAATTACACTATCCTTAGAGAAAGTCCAACTCAAAAAAAGTGTTTCTGGGCCATAAACACGTCCCGGAATTGTCAGATTGCTGCGGTGGAAACTGAAGAGCCGTGTGTTTGGGAGAGACGGTGCTCAGGTCTGAACGTCTGGCCCTTCTCTGCTCACTCGTCACCTCATCTCAGTGTGCCCATCTATAAGGTCAGGCTGAAAGATCTACCTCACGAGGCAGGGCGACTGCCAAGATCATGTGTGTGAATCTCTTTAAACACAGTAGAATAACATCTGTATCTGAAAACAGGCTTAGTAAGGCCTCCCTTGAAGGATTATTGAGAAGAACAATTCAGATAATGTGTAAAAACTGATTAACACAATATCTGGATTATACAGAAGCCTCAGAGACATAGTAAAGCAGCAGTGAATAGCAACATCTGAAACTGTGAACCATAAAATAGTAAGAATTGGAACTCAGCAGTGTAAACAGCTCCCACCACTGGGCAGGTGCCTGGGACTGACATGTGACCGACCCTTTTTGCTGGACAGAAGTGCTTGCTTCTGCCAGCTACATGGCAAGGTGGAGCTGCACCTGTCCAGAATTACTGAAGGCTCTGGCTGGAGGTAAGTGAGCAACACGCTCGCCCATTAATCATTTTCCACTTTGAAAATGGCCACCCTCAATTCTCTGTGCCGTCCATGATCAGGTGCAGAGGCTGCCCATGGGGAGAGACCGTGGGGAAGTGGGGCTGACAGAAGTTGTGCTGGTCTACCCCAGACCTCCCCGAGAGCTCACTCTGGTCTGTTCCACACAAGTTAAACTATAGTTTAGCTCTGTTCAAAGCACATCTCTGAACTCCCGCAACATGCCAGGCCCTAAGTTGGGGACTGAGGGCTCAGAGAGGAAGGTGGCATGGTTCCTGCTCCTGAGCTCATGGTGAGTGGTGGGTGCCAGGATGCAGGAACACAGGATGCTAGGAGGGAGCAGAGGAGGGGTGGGGTGCTGTGGGGGGAGCCATCTGGGAGGAAAGGATGCCTGAGCTGAAATTTAAAGGATGGATTAACATAGCCTGGCAAAGTCAGAGAAAAGAGAAAGGAAGGTAGCAAGGTGCCCAGGCAGAGGGACTGCCTGGGACAAAGGTAGGAAAGTGATTCTGAGTGGGTTGGGGGTCCCGGGACACTGCAGCAGAGCCTAGGATGGTCTGGAGCAAGGAGAACCTGCCTGACACCCCCCTACACACATCAAAGCAAGTCTCCCAGCCTGGCTGCAGGGTACACCACCTATATGGCAGCTGACTGATGGTTAAGGGGCTGTGGACAGGCACTGGCAGGGCCATGGACCCCGGCCTTGCGCCGCAGCTTCATTACCTGTGAAGTCACTTCCCAGATGGTCTCTCCAGAAGACCAGCCCCTACAATGTTGTGCCTTGCAGGCCTGCTGCAAGACGGACAATACTTGACACACAGGACCCAGGATTTAAGTTGAGCTAAGAGAATTGACTGGAACAGAATTTCCCAGGTGCCAGGAGATGGCCAGGAGGTGACACAGTGGCATAGCCCACACTTATTCTGAACTCTCCTGTCCAGCACCAGGGCCATTCCTTGTGGGCTCAGGATAAAGAGGGAGCTCAGGCGTTTTGCTGAAGCCCTTCACAGGGACAGCTGAGTTCACTTTCCTCCCGTCTTGGAAGGCCAGGCTTCTCCCTTGTCAGCTCCCAGGATGATCGCAGGAGCTATTCTAAGCTGCTGTGAGGTGGCCTCAGACGCAGCTGAACACTCCAGACTCATGCGAGCCTAGACAGAAGGTGGCACACATGGAGGGAAGCCTTAAAGAAGAAGGTAGTGAAGCACACGGCACTGGGAACAGCTGGCTGGTTAAACACAGCAAAAAAATAAAATACAAATAAAATAAAATTTCAGTTTGTTAGGAAGTTGCTTTTTGTTTTGGTTTTGGGCTATTCCAAAGGAAAATTACTGGCAACGTTTCCTGCTCTTTATAACCAAGATTCCTCAGGCAACTCCCACGGGAGAGAACCCAGCCTGGCATTTGAGTGGTCCTTAAATATTTCCTCAAGCTCACTTCCTTGTGTTTTAATAACCCAGTGACTTGTTCTGCAGGGCGGCGCCTCCCCAAGCCCCTTGGGCTGGACTATTTATCATGGCAGCAGCTGGAGGTAAGCTGGACACAAAGAGGATTTGCGTCTCAGGAGAGCTGGTCCCTAGATACAGAAAGCAGAGGAATTTTCTCATTAGTAGGAAGTCCATGGTGGGGACTCTGGGCTTTCATCCCATGCCCCCAGTGCAAATGGCAGCAAGGAGGGAGCCTCCGGGGGGGGGGGGCAAAGTGCTCAAAGATGCTTTCACTGGTCAATGAAGTTTCCAGAGTGTATTTGCTTGGGAGTGATGAAAGGTATTAAATCCCATCCGCACCCATGAAGCTTTCCAAAGGGAAGTGGGGAGTCCATCTGGGGACATGATTTCTTGTTCCCACTCATGGTGGGGGTGCAGTGAGAGTCTCCATATGGGACATCCCACATCCACCACTGGGCAAAGCCCCGGGATTCTGAGGGCCAACATCTGGGAAGCCATCACTGAGTTCTCACCATAGCGAGGCTGGACCAGGGAATTCTAGGGTGTGGAGAGAGGACAGAGTGTAAGCACAGTTCTAGAACACTCCCAGGATTCACTGACCTCAAAAGGATTCCACAATTCTCAGGGAGAACAGATTAAGCTGATTGAGAAGAAATTCTCTGAGTTTGTGACATCATCCAAGGTACAATCCTGGATTAGCTAATTCCATAAATCCCAAAACCTCGCTGGTCCCCACCAGCATATGCACAGACTTTAGAAGTGAAGGGGGTTCCTGGTGGCCTCTGACTGCCAGTGTCCTTCAGGAAATGCTATAGGCAGATTCAGTCTGCAGGACGCAAACGCTGAAATTCGTTGCCCTCGTCTGCACTTGCGTGTCCTGCTAGCACACCCTGTCAGCACAGTCGGGAAGGATGATGGTGGCCTCGTCTATAAAGCATAGAGAGAACCAGGCATCGCTTTTCCATGGTGTTACTGCAGTGCTTGGGGGATGGCGCTCAGCTCTGGGTAGGCTGGGGATGGGGGTATGGTGTTTGAATAAATGATCTTTGCCCTCCAGTTTCTAGACCAGTGGCTTAACTTCAAGTGCAGCATTAAAAAATTTTCCTCAAATATTTTTATGCTAGAATTTTTCATGCTTGATCCCAGACACAAATAACTAGTTTCCACAATGGTGGGAGAGAAAGGCACATCCAAGGCACAGTTCACTCCTGAACAGGAGGAGCGTGCGGGAGCAGATTGGAGCCACCCAACAGGTCAGGTCAGGTCACCTGAAGAGTCACCGGAGCTTACACTTAGAGGAAAAAGTTGCTACTGTATTTTCAGTGCGTTTTCCCATGCATGAAATATGGGATTGTTTTTCTTAAATTATGAATAAAAGTTTTTAAAGAGTCCTCACTTCAAATCTCTAGAAAACATCAAAAATTTAGGTTCCTGCAATAAACAGATAAAAAGTATTAACACTGTAAATTAGGATAGAACATACTTCTGTGATGCTCTGTGCTTGAAAGAGTTCGGACACACACTGAATTTTAGGCCATGGAAAGAAATCTAAAATATCGCATTTATTATTTCTCACAGCCAACACAAACATTCTGCCGTGCTATGTAATTGTGTTGGATTGGTTTTGTTTCTGCTGCCTTCCCCGACAATAATGCTGCCCCCACTTGTAGGGAAAGGAGCTTCCTCTGAGAGCCCCGTTCTCTTCTTCCACCTCCTCTGAGAGACCAAGGGAGGAAGTGGAGTGAGATGCGGAAAAGTCTAGATTGGGACTCAGCCTCCGCCTGAGCTTCCGAGGTAGAGCTGGGAGATCTGGCCCCTGGCACGGCTGGGCTGCAGGTTAGAGGGCTGGGCAGAAAGGCCCCTTGGTCCCTCTTTGGAAATGTGTGTGGTTTCTGGGAACAGACCAAGTGCTCCTTTACCCTGTTTATTCCCCCACTTGCTTCCTTTTAAGGTGGTTAAAGGCCTGGCTAATTCTGGGCTGTGTTGATTCCTCTGGGTCTGTAATCTGACACTGGCCTGGGCGCAGCAGCTGGGCACAGGGGCTCCAGGCCACATCCTCTCAACATGTGAGCACCAAGGTTGTCTTAGCCTGACCAAGCCCTTCGGAATGATTTCCTGGGAGGTACCTAAGCCAGCAGCTCTGGGAATTTCACTGACAATGATGAGGGTTTACTCTGAGAATGTGACAGCAGCGCGGGCCCCTCTGTAGGTGAATGTTCGCACACGGACACAGAGCTCTGCCATCCCTTTCTTGGTGACGGAGGGCTATGGACCCAGGTTAAGAATCAGCAGCCTGGAGGATGATCCAACAGTCATTTGCATTTGTCCACCTTCCTCCTGACATCTCACCTGTGCACAGGATGTGGGTGGCCCTCAAATGATGACAGGTGGGGTTGGCAGAGGGACGCTTCACAGTGGCCAAAGGAGTGCACCACAGCACATACTGATTGATCTCTCTCCCCATCAAGGACGTCAAGCGCAGGTACCAGCGGCGCCATCTCCCTCACATTTCTACCTCTCTCTCTCTCACATTTCCAGGCTCACAAAGCAAAATGCCAACCATGCCCTCCAC